GTAGCTAATTTGGCATTGAGGTAATTGGTGACCTCATTGAGGTCATTTGCAAGATACTTTATTTAAAAAAAAAATCACAGGATTTAGAAACCACCATGCAAAGGTCTAAGGAATGGGTGTCTTGTGAGTAAGGAGAGTGGGCACTTGGAGATGATTCAAGGACTTCAGGAAGGAGAAGAATTGGGCATCGACTTTAGGTGTGGAACTGGGAAGGGCAATTTTATTAAGCAATTGAGGCACTCCATATTTGTGGAAACAGAGGAGGGGAGGAGAAACTTAGATAGCAGTTGTTGTGGGTTGCCAACAGATGGTCCATGGACAACTACATAAATGCAGAGAGCATGTATCCTGCCAAGAACATATGCAGTGCTCCCTTGCAGGCACCAGTACTCTGCCACAGTACTACTTTTCTGGTAACTTCTGGGCCTTTGGCCATCTGCTAGAGGATAGGTCCTTGAGGGAGAGGAGTGCCACAACCATCCTGTGGCAATGGTGTGGTAAAGGTGTGTATTGGGGGAGCTGGCATCTTTGGATCACAGGCGATAGCATGGGCATATCCTCAGCAGAGAAGTTAGGGGGTAGGATGACTCCAGTGAGGTCATGTGGCATGATTAGGGGAGAACACATGAGTAGGTGCAGACTCTTGGGAAGTAGAACAGACCAACACATCTCATTCATGCTACATTTCCTTTCTTATTCTTGCTCATCACCCACCTTTGTGAAAGGAGGACCAGTAAAGTGAGGAACTTGACAGCTCTTGCTCCTTCTTGTTTATTGGATTTGGGGTTCTAGTATAACATTAGCATTTGGTTTATTCCTTCTTTGGGCTCATGCTGAGAGTCTTCTCCGAGTATGAACCACACTTAGAGCCTTCCAAATCAGTACTGCTCATGACAAAGCAAGACATCCTGGAATGGCAGGGCCATAAACATGTGGAGGGAGGTGTGGCATATGTCCAGAGGCCCCTACAGCCCTCCCAACACATGTATTTGACTTGAAATTAATCGGGGTAACTATGAACACCCACCAATATCATCAAAGACCCACAGCAAAACCCAGCGTGGTAGTCTAGTGGCTAAATCCTTGCCTTGCATATATGTTGGGATCCCATATGGATGCTGGTTCGTGTCCTGGTTGCTCCACTTCCCATCCAGCTCCCTGCTTGTGGCCTGGGAAAGCAATAGAAAATAGCCCAAAGCTTTGGGACCCTTCAACTGCCTGGGGGATCTGGAAGAAGCTCTTGACTCCTGGCTTCGGATCAGCTCAGCTCTGCCATCACAGCCACTTGGGGAATGAACCAGTGGATGGAAGATCTTACTCTCTTTGTATCTTCTTCTGTCAATTTGTGTTTCAAAAAAAAGACCTGCAGTACACCCTGGCACCTAGGAGACACAATGCCTGCCACAGTTGTTCCCAAGCAAGGAGCCTTCTTTATGGCATATGACAGAGAAGTACATGGGAGTTGCAGGAGGATACGTAGCATCGGCTCAGTTCTCGATTGGATGGTAACATGTTTGTGTGCAGCTTGGGTGGGTGGACAGACATCAGGACTAGATCAATTACTGTGAAAAAGCAGGATTTGTGGGAAAACCTGGGCCTCTTGTTCTGTCCCTCTTCTTTCCAGAAGCCTCAAATGACACGTTTTTCACAGTGAACTACATTGCATTTTTCTCTGTTCCCTTCACCATGTGCTATCAAGAACCACAGTCCCACTGAGACAGGCATATCCCAACCCAACAGTGCAGAGTCACAGTTAGTGATTGGCGACAGCAGGGCTTGCAGGGACAGTTGAGTCCATGCCAGGTGCCCTGTATTCACACACTCAGGAGCCTACCCATCTAAGAGCCTACCCATCTAAGAACCTACCCATCCAGGATACCAGAGAAACACATGAAGCCTTCAAAATATCAGTAATCAGAAACTTGACATGACACTCCAGTGGAGCCATTCTCAGTCTCCTGGTCTGCCCCCAGGGTGAGGATCAAATTAGCAGCCACCCCTGGGCTCCTCCATCCCTTGTTCTTGATTGTTGCAGAAAGATCTGCTCCTTCTCTGCTGGAGTGTGATTCAAGCACCGGGTTAGAGTGTGTGGGGTGCTGCCAGTTCCCAACAAGCCTTCCCCAAAGGCCTGGGAGAGGGCTGGCTACTGGGTTCTGACATCTGGTGGTGGGACGTGGGAGGTGGTCAGCTTCTCCTTTTTGATGCCCTTGCACTGCTGTCCACAATGGTGCTGTGAGGGGTGGTAAGGCAGACTGCAGGCTGGGTCTCAGGGAACGAAGCTCAGATCCACACTGGCAAACCACCTTCCCAAGGGACCGGCTGTGTTGTCCTTAGAAGTGGAGCCACAGAGCAGAGGTCAGGAGGCTGTCACCATCATTGCCATTACCTTGCATTGCTGGTGCTCCTCAACATGTGTGAACCTGCTGATCAGGCACTGCTGGGGAATCCACCGTCCATTCTCTCTGTTCCTACCCTATGGGCTTGCCTTTAGGCAGGAGCAGCCTCCACTCACTTCCACTTTGCCTATCGCTGGTTCATCAATTGCAAATGATAACTGACATCAAGACCCCTGGCTGCAAGGGGGTCTGAGAAACATGGCTTTAGATGTCCTGTCTACTGCAGTGTAAGGAGTGTATGAAGGATAGTGTGCTCAGCCGCTGTCTGTCACATAAAGGGAGAAAGTAATACTGAATACTTAACAGTATGTGCTCCAAAGAATTTCAACTGTGTCCGATGACATTTGATAATTTTAAAAAGTTATATCTGAAGATTGTGGGCATATTCATGTTACCAAGAATCCTGTTAATCATGCCAAGGATGAATTATCTTTACCAATATCAACATGACAAAATTCAGAGACTGTCTCATCACTTGGGAGATATTCATGTGTATACACACACAAACACATTTATATTTGTACATACATACAACTGTACAAGATACATCTGTATAGGATTTTGTATATATAGGACATGTATACATGTATGTCCTAAAAAGAATGATTCATTTTATTTTAAAAATTATTTAGTGCACACACACACACACACACACACACACTCACTCACACACTCCATCTGCTGATTTACTTTTCTAATGCTCAAGAACTGAGAACTCAAGTTAGCTTTCTTCCCACGTGGCTGGTAAGAACCTAAACACTTAAATCAACACCAAGGTGCACATTAGCAGAAAGCTTGGCTAGGAAGCAGGGCTGGCTCTCGCCTGGAATGTAGGTATCCCAAGTGGCAGCATAAGCTTTGTACCAAATGCCTGCTCCCTCTTACATGCAGAAATCACACACGTACTACTCAGCCGGAAAGGCAGAGGCAAACAAGTTGCCTAGACTCTTCTGTCACTCGTACAATAACCTCTTCATTCTTCCTACCACATGAATATCCTGGGTATAGTGGGGTCAAAGAATGTGGTTTTGCTTTTTCCTCTAACTTTGCATTTAATAATAATAATGTTGTACAATAGAACCACAAGTTTTAGTGTTTGCCCAACATTGCAAGGATACACAGGTTATAATTTATTCAGTTACTTCCCTCTGGTTGAACACTTGGGTTGCTTTATTTACTACCATGAATGATGCTTTAAAGAAGGATGTCCTGAGTATTCAGGCTTTCCTATCACATGCCCTGAAGTAAGATTGTGACTTCCCTTGTACTGCTTCAAAGGCATCGTATGTTTTTTTAAAAAATGAGAATCAACAGCTCCTAGTCAACATTTCTTTAAAAAAATCACCTTGACCAAAGTGGAGTTTTCTTGTGGCCATCACTAAACGCAGAGCTTGTTTCCACCCATCACATCGTGTGCAGTTTTCTTGGGAGTGACCACAACAGCTGTCAACACTGGAGTTGATGCCTCTTCTGCCTGTTATCAATGTGCACATACTGGTCTATCAAACCCCAGGAGACTGCCCAGCTGCTGGGACCAACGCCTTGGCGGGCAGAGCCTCCGCAGGGTCTCCTCTACCTCGGGTATCTCAAGGCCCAGTCTTTCTGACCAGAAGCCCTGCCCCGCAGATAAGGTAGGGCTGCCATGGTGCTGCTGCAGTGGATCAGCTGGCATTGTTTTCAGCCCCCCAAAAGGCATATACATGGAATTTCATAGGCAGAGGGACCCCACTCCTTCTCTGTGATCTTTCCTTTTCCCCCCTTGGAGTGAGTTATAACAAAGTTTTCTGGGTTACAATGGATTCAAGAAGTTGGCTGACTTGAACTAGGCCATCACAGGTCTAAAAGGGAGATCTATGCTACCTGCCACAAGGCTTTCCTCCCAGTCACTTGGCTTTCCCACAGGGAGCCTAGGCCTCTAACCATCTCTAGTATCAAGCTCGAAGAAAACTGGCTGGAGCTGTCGTTAGAGGGTTATTGCTTGACTTGGCCAATCCAGGAGACCAAGAGGAGGAACACACTTAGCTGCACGTTTTCTGTTTTCAGCCAGGAAAAAAAGCCCCTTGGGGTTCTTTCCAACAAGCAGCCTGGAAAGCAGCCTTGATTTTAACTGTCCCCAGTGGTGGCCTGTGCCCACTGGTTGCATGAATGGTGCATAGCAAGGTAAGGCCTCAATTCTAGAACTCCACTCTCCCCCACAATCCTCCCGCCTCCCCATCCAACCACCAACTACTGCATAATCGACATTACCAACGACCCTCTACCCCTACCCCAACCTTTATCAGGCCTCGGGAATGCCAAAGCTTACTAAGCCATAGGGTTTGCAAAACCACCAACTCTGGGGCGGAATTTCCCTGAGCGGCAGATACTGATCCCCCTCCAGCTCTGGTATGTCCCCACGGGGTCGCGGCCTTCCCTCCCCATGGGTCATCCTAGGGCCTGCCCCTGGCGGGGCAACACCACCCTTAGGTAGCCTAACTTCCCGGGACACCCCAGCGTCCCCTCTCGCCCCCGTCCGGTTGCTTGGAAATTTGCAGTGGACAGTGACGTCACATAAAAAGGCGGGTCCTCCCTGTCCCGCACACCAATGGCGCGGGCGCGGCCTGTCTCTTCTATTCCAGTGATTGGTGCTTAGGGCCCCTCCGCTCCACCCCAGCCCGCCATGGCGTCAGGCGCCGCAGCCCCGGGGAGGTGGTTCCCACTTTAAGAAGTGAAGTTTTTCGCCCCCTCCCCCTCCCTGCCCACCTCCCGCAGCCTCCGGCGCCCCGCGGGGCTGGCGGATGGAGCTACGCAGCAGCGGCGTAGGGAGCCCGGCTGTGGGGCGGAGGATGGATGGGGACAGCCGAGATGGCGGCGGCGGCGGCGGCAAGGACGCCGGGTCGGAGGACTATGAGAACCTGCCGACCAGCGCCTCCGTATCCACCCACATGACAGCGGGAGCGATGGCCGGGATCCTGGAGCACTCGGTCATGTACCCCGTGGACTCAGTGAAGGTGAGGCGCGGGGAGACTTCGGGGACGGAGCCAGCAGCGCCGGAGAGCGCGCGTCCGCATGCTTGCATCCCGCGCCACACCAGCCAGAGGCAGCGCCCCGAAACCACGCTGTCCACCCCCGGAGGCAGCGGCGTCTAGAGGGGGCCGGGCCGGGGTCTCTCCACATGAACACCTGCACAGCGCCACTCCTTCCGCCGCGCAACGGGCTCCCGGGGCACCCCCCCCCAAAAAAAAACCGCCAGTGTGCCCCGGCCGGCACTCCGCGTCGCCGCGTGCCGGGCCCCGGTTGCTGGCTGCGTTGAGGCGTGGGAGGACGAGTGGCAAGCTTGGCTGGCCTCGGCAGCTCCGCACGGTCTGCGCTGGCGGTGCGCGGTGGCCGCCTCTTGCCTACACGTGCACCGTTGCCGGGAGCTCGCGGCGGGGAAGCGCCAGCAAGCCTGGCGCTAGAGAAACGGGGCCCCGCCTGGCCGCGCGTCCCCTCGCCCCGCAGCATGTGGCTGCAGCCCCCAGCTTCCAGGGTGGTTAGTGACGAGATCGTGCGATTGGCAAGGGGACGTCCGGCTCATGAGAGCTCTTTTGGGGTTCCCGATTCCGCGGCGCCTCCGGGAGCCCCCCATTTCCGGTGCTCCTGCACCTCTCCCTCCCTCTCCTCTCCCCCACGTTCAAGCAGTTGAGTAATTGGGGGAGTGGGAGACCTGTGGTGACGTTTGCCTTTTCTCTGCTTGCTGGGACGCGGACAGGCTGGCAGAGCTTGTCCCGTGCAGCCCTTTCTTACTACGCGTTGTGTAATAGACAGTTTGACCCCGGCCATTTCCGCAGGTAGTTTTCAGTGCATTTCTGCCCGCTCTAGCGGGCGGGTTCTGCCGGTTAGTTTGAAAACTCCTCCCTGTCAGCCTGTCCAGAAGGACCAGGAGAGAGAGAACGGTGAAGAAGTTAACATGTGTGTTGGCTGTTGAATAAGGCACTTTTACTCATCTCAGAGGGACAGTGGCCTGGGGAATCCCAGATAAAGCAGCACGATGCAGAGGTGGACAGATGAAGTTGCCTGGGCTGGGAACCAGCCGAATCATCCGGGTCTCTAGGTGGCAGTTACCTTGCACCCTGTGGTGTTTAGAGCTCCCCCACCTGCAGCTGTAATTGCTGATCCTGGCCTTACCAGAGCAGGTGTGCAGGCCACAGGCTCTAAAGCAGAGGGCTCTTAGAGCTCTGGGTAGCTCTCCTGGAGCTCTCAGCAGCTGGACAGGCTCAGGTCCCGTGAGAAAAAGCATGGGTAGTTGTAGTACCCGGAGGCCAGACCCTCATCATGCTGCCAAGCCTGACCTGTGACCCCTTGGGTCTCTCCCCTTGTCACAGTGGGGAATTTGAAATGGTCCTTGCTTGGCACTGTCACCAGGAGTAGGCAAGACCTTGTTGTGTAGGTGTGTACAGGGCTCCTCCAGGAAAGACCTGGAGTAGGAACCAGGTCGCACTGGTATTAGAGAATCTGGGAAAATTTTCATAGTTTCTTAAAGATTTATTTGTATTTTTATTGGAAAGTCAGATATACAGAGAGGAAGATCTCTGTCCATTGATTCACTCTGCAAGTAGCCACAATGGCTGGAGCTGAGCCAATCTGAAGCCAGGAGCCAGGAGCCTCCTCAAGGTCTCCCACACAGGTGCAGGGTCCCAAAAATTTGGGAGTCCTCAACTGCTTTCCCAGGCTACAAGCAGGGAGCTGGATGGGAAGCAGGGCTGCTGGGTTTATAACTGGTGCTCATATGGGATCCTGGCACATGCATGGCATCCTGGCACATGCATGGCAAGGACTTTAGCCACTAGGCTACCAGGCTGGGCTCGATAGTCTCCATATTTAACGTGATCATCTCAAGGGCCATGGGCCTTCTGGGATAGGTTGGGAGCGGGGAGATGCAGTGGAAGCAGGTGTCTGATCTGTCATCTCCTGTCTGTCATTTCGGGGGCTTGGAAGTTGGATTCAGAGCCTCCTTTCTCTTAGTTTTAGAATTAGAATGAATTGGGCCTTTTGAGCTCTGGTTGACACTCTGGAAAGGCATTTATGTCATGTGTTTAAATCCTGTGCTCCGTGTTCAGTTCCTCACCACCCCTCCGACCTTGGTCTGTTTTGATTCGGATGTGACTTGTGGTCTCACGATTTGTTTCAGTAGAGTTTTCCCTGTCGACAGGTTGTTAGCATGGTTGGCGCTCCCCTGTAGAAGGAAGCCTGGGGCTGGGTAATCCCAAGGGTCTTCTGTGTCCTGGGAGCCCAACTCTGGCTCTGCTGTTCCTGTATGGGTAGGGTTTCTGCTAAAGTATCTGTCTGCTTTAGTTTCTCTTAAGTGTTTTGTCTGCCACTTTCTCAAGAGGCCTTATTCCAGCAAGGATCATTCTTGGCAGTTTTTAGCAGGCAGAGAAGGTCCATGGCTCCCTCCCAGGGTGTATGAGCCTGCGGAGCCTGCTGCAGGCTCCAGGATGACTGGGACCAGCGCTGTTGTCCGTGTCCATCGGGAGGACTCCACAGCTCCTCTGTGGCTCAGTCAGGGAAATGCTTCACTTGCATGACGTCGGTGAGTGCTTAAATGCTTCAGGTGCTGGAGACCAGGAGTAATTGAGTGGGGAGGCCCGGGTTTTGTTTCCAACCCTGAGTTTAACTAGTGCTGTGCCTTAGTTTTGTCATCTGAAAATGGGCGCTGAGGCACTGTCTCCACATTGTAAGCCAAGCTCCCTCTCCATGCACATAGGACATGGTTGTCTGCTTTTCTCTTTATTTGTGGTCTCCAAATACTTACTACGACCACAGCCGAATTCATGGGAATATTATTCTCTTGGAAGAGGAAAAAAAAGTGTTACTGTGATTTTGCAAGGCACATGTTTTTAACTTTGATGTTGTGATGATAAATGAGAGTGTCTTGTCAGCTTGCTTTTTCCAGTCTTTCTCCCCTGGGAAGTGTGGACAGTGGAACCCAGTGCTGGGCACTTGGAGCCCTGAATTCTGCGCTACTTGATTTTATGGTGTTAAGCACAGAGGGGCAGCCTCACTGATGCTTACCTACAATTATAATAGGAAACGTGCCTTTTTTATGAGGTCCCACTCCACCTCCTCCCCCAGTGTCACTTTAATAACTAGTGTTTCTTTAAAAAAAAAAAAACTGTGAGTCATGGCCTATTAGTAGGCTCAGCATTAGAAAAAAAAAAAGTTGGTGCGATTACAAACTAGAACATGCACAGCATGGGTAGGAAGGAGAAATGTTCTTGTTGAAATTCTAGTTGGGTTGCACATGTGTTCCCTGGATAGCCGTATAAGGTGCACTCCTGACTGGAGGTCATGGCCGAGAGACTGGGAGAGCCACTGGGTGGCATGCACCTGTCTTAGCCATTGCGGTCAGCATGTGGTTAATTGGCAGCCTTGGTAATCTTTCTACTTCTTTCCGTGCCTTCCTTTCACATCCCACGGTGGAGTGTGAGTACTGGTTCACCTGTGAAGGATGGGTTACTAGAACCTTCATTCTGCACCCCCAGAGTAGAGTGAGAAGCCTTGGGGTGGGGAAGGGGGTGGTACCCAGGCAGGGGTATGAGACTGTGGGGCCCTCAGTGAACGGCAGCAGGGCTATCTTTGTAGCTGGAGTAGCAGGTTTCCTGTGTACCTCTTTTCCTGGTATTCCAAAGTGGCAAGTGGGATGGTGGCCTCCAGGCGCAGTTGGGATGAAGTGAGGAGCCCTGGTTGGGTCAGGAGTGTTCACAGCTGTGGGCGCATGCCAGGTGGGTGGAGGAGGAAATTCCAACCAGATTAGGCACACACTTATAGACCCTGCCGAGGTTGCCTGCCGGCCTGCCTGCCGTGGTGAAAGCAGGGGCAAAAGGAAACAGGAAAGAGTTGAAGCGCGGGAACTTCCGCTGACCTTCTTCTGCTTGGCTTGTCCGGGAAGCCCTGCCCTTTGACTCTCCTGGGATGCACCCTGCTTGAGCCCTGGCACCCCGTGAGGCTTGGCCTGGACTGTAGGGGCTCTGCTCCTTGGGTTGGTCATGTGTCTGTCTGTGGAGGTCCCCAGGCAGCCCAGGTGCCAGGTGAATGTTCTCCTCTTGGCTCCTGCCAGGCAGGCAAACTTGGAGGAAGGGTGCTGGGGGTGGGGTGGGAGAGGGTGCAGGCAGCTGCCGCCATCACCTCCCACCCACTTCAGTGCTTTGGAAACAAAGTACAGTCCAGGCCTTTCAGCGGCAAGAGGGCGTGAAATCTCAGATTGCTCTCGTTCCTGGAATAAAATTAGAGTGATCACTTTCTCTCCTTCTTCCCTCTGTCTTCTCCCCTTCAAATTCCTTCCTTCCTTAGTCTTCTTTCCCCAGTGATAGGTGGTTGTGCTCTTCAGATCTGCCACTGGGGGCCATCTTCCACACAGAGCCTGCTCCCACGTGTCTGTCCACTTTGCTCGCCAGGGTGCAGTTTGGAGGACAGCCCCTAGAGTCGCGAGGACCAGTGAAGGGGCTGCATGGGGTCATTTGGTGGCTGGCACTGCTGAGCGCATGCATGGGGCTGCCTATGGGTGCTCCACCTGCTTTTCCTTTGGGCCCAGTGCCATCAAAGAGGGCTTTTGTCCCTTTTGTCCTTTGGAGCCATGTCCCTTCTCAGAGCCTCAGGTCCTCCCTGCCTGAGGACAGCCGTGCACTCCTGGCCGTTGAGGGCTTTCGTGGTGTCTCTCAAACTTGGCTCTTTTCCCATCTGCCCTATCTTTCAGCTTTTCCTTCGGAAGGAATTTCTGGTTGTGTTGTTTTGAAGCGGAAGCAAGCTGCAGCCTCCTGCAGGCACTTGTCTGGGCCACCTCAGAAGAACTTGCCTTGCCTCCAGCCTGCTCTCTAACTGCCCAGCCGGAGTACCCACCGCTGATGTGCTTCCTGGAAGCAAGTGTCCACTCATCCCCTTGGTGGAACTGTTCAAGCTTCCCTCCAGCTCCTGCATTGGGTGTCTTACCCTCGGAGAGCAGTGTTGGAGAGATTGAGGGCATCTGAGTTTT